GTAAGTTCCGTCCATTTAAATATAGTACAATTTATTATTATTTATTGTAGAGATAGTCTTTGTAGATAAATTTGCTGTTAACCTATGCCAAATTAGTAATCCACTTTCAATTACTTATTTGTTTTAATAACAAGATGTGCACCGGCAGATCTATAGTACCTTTGATAACAGAATAGAATACAATTTTAAAATTGTGTATAGTAATCTACCAACCTGTATAAAATAAAGTTGTAAAAGCTGTTTGCAACAGAAATGTTGAGTCTTCAGTTCTCGACTGTACAACATTTGGTGTCAGATTTAAGCCGCCATCAGCGTCTGACATGGCTAAATTGGAGCGATGAATAACTTGCTTTCAATGGAATCATATAAAATTTTCCTCGATTTTTCATAGGATATCACACCAGAGAATAAAATCAAGCACCCTAGAGCTGAAAGAGTCTCATTTCCAATTTATTGAATTGAGCTATAGAGCCTTTTACTAGTCATAATCATCGAAGACTAAAGTGTTTCCATTTTTATAATACTATCTGATGACCAGTTGACAAGATATACTCACAATTTCATTAAACTTCAGAGTATAAAATAGCGATCTTATTGAGGTTGTATCGTGTTTTAAATGTACTTAATTCCCGTCCTTAAACGAATTATCTCGTGAGGCGACTACCGAACGACTGACATTTAGATTTCACTTAGTAATTGCATGGTAGCCTTTGCGGCGATTTTTCAGCCGATTTTTAAAGCAAAAAATATCGATTTATTATTAAAATTAGGTATATTACTAAGTACGGCGCAAAAAAGAAAGCTCAATGGACTTTAGACCGTATCTTTTGTCTTTATTCCGCCATTACTCAGGACTCACATTAGACAGGAGCAGCCTACTGCATAAATAAGCGACACTAGCAGACGCCCGCGGTTTCGGTCACGCGATGAATAAAATATAGTACGCTGTTAACGGTTGCGGTTTGATGTTTGTATAATTTGCGACAATCGAGCTAAATCACAAATTGTTATTCATTAGTGATTGACGCACAAACGTATATTAAATATAAGTATGTCACCCCTCCTTCGTCACCGGGGTGGCATTTGACCCCATGTTTTGTAGAAAGAAGTCTTTTTAGAAAAATGTCAGTGCTAACAATGGTTGGCAATTCTGAAAGTATTAATAAGGTAGTATGTTTATATCAGCATCAGTCAGTTAAACTAAGATGTATAATATGTCATTCCGCTGACGAAGACGGACTGACATAAAGGACTATTAAGCGGAAGGAAAAAGTGTGTCAACTCAAAAAAAAATCGCGCCTTCCACCTTAAATTTTGTAAATATTAAATCGTAACAATTCATTACTTGAGTACTTATATCATTCCTCTTATAAAATGATGAGTAATTAATATATTATTTTGGATAAAAACCTACCACCCTGTATAAAATAAAATTGTATATCACGTATTACTTTACTTGAAAACTGCTTCATTTCATTAAGTACTGGACTCTGTACAGGCCTAGAATACAAAGTTGGTACAAGTTGAATTTTCTTGTTTGCATTAAAACGTCATTAATGTAATGGACAAATTATTCAACGCAATATTTCTACATGAAACACTGATATTTATGGCACTCAAATGTAATTAAAATTCTTTATCTTTGTGTTGATTGATTCTTTAGATATCAGCTCCAGTAATTATTTTCTTATGCAAAACCGTTGTTCGGTATTAAATTTATATTCCTTTTAGAATATACAGTGTTATTTTTATTAATATGTAAACGTGCCCTATTGAATAATAGTGGGTATTAGGTATTAGCTCTGATCAACTTCGTTTGGAATTTAATCATAAATTAAAATAATTAAGTATTTGTTTTTATCGCAATTTTTTTATCGCAATATGACGTACTTAATATCAACAATGAAACTCGTTCGCGAATTATAATTTGTTATAGAACACAATGCATCTGCCAAAAAAATCTCTAAACACAGAGAGGGTTGATCTTATACCTACGTTTTGACCAGCACAAGAACTTGCAATGAAATAATAAATAGCAGTTAATTTTGAACTATTACTTAAAGTTACAAAGTTCAAAATCGATTAGGCAATATCTCAACGTTGAGATAATTTGACCAGACGACTGTACGTTTTGTACAGTTTGCACACAGGCTCCTGTTCAATCCTACTAATATTACAAATGCGAAAGTTTGGATGTTTCTTTGGATGTTTGTTGTTTGATGTTACTCTTTCACGCGAAAACTACTGAACGGATTTTGGTTATTGTTTATAACCCAGAATAACATATAGGCTATAATTTATGACGATCTGTGACAAACGAAATTTCACGCGGGTGAAGCCGCGGGCAAAAGCTAGTGACATAATAAAAACAAGACGCCTCCCTCATGTCCGCCGTTTGCCTGGGGCTCTCTTTAAAACGAAAACTGTGTAATTAGCTATCTTATCGTTATAAATTCAATGCAACACTACGCATTTTGTTCTTTTGTAAACACTTAGGGCACCTGCTATAACGCACAAAAACCTTGGGCAGCTCTGTTACGAATACTTTAATAAGGGAAATTGCTGCCTCTCGACGTCTATAATTGGTGTCAATATATACCTACTTCAAGTGGCTAATTAATTAAATAAAAAAGCATTCAGGTCTAGCCACATTGTGGCGATATAGCATGCGAGTTATAACATTGTAAGAACGCAAAAACTCCTTATAAGGTACAATCATATGCATCGCGTACACGCTCCGTCTTCACACTAAGTACGTTTATAATATTATCATAAATGATAAAAAGTCGAAAGGTGTTTGAAATGTAGAACTATGTATGTTATGCGCAAACGCAAATGACAGTGCAGGGTTGTCATTATTTTGTTTTAGGAATATTCATTTCGTTTTGTTTATTTTTAATACTTTTGTCTCGTACAGCTCAAGATAGAAACTACTAAAATAGCTCTCCGATAGTTGGAATTAATTTGGAGGTCTACAATAGACGAGTGAACGGGAAAGTTCATTTTAGTATAAACTCTTGACTGTTCGGAAATTAAGCTTGTCTTCAGAATATTTTAAACGCCGTATCAGCCCTTACAATGTCCAGTTAGAAATAACTTATGACTGACATTTTAATTATGTGTCTATTTCTTTACTTATGGGCTCTACTTCATGTCTAATTCATTTGCGACTCTTCATTCATTGGCATATACTAATTTGAGTTCTTATCACAAACATTTTCATTTATGATAAGAAGTTTTCATTGTAACCACATAATTTCAACTTAAAATGTTCGTTATCATTCGGATGTGACAGCTAGATTCCGTAATACTTACCGTTGCCTGTATAGTATGGTAATTGCTTATTATCATAAATACTCTGCCTTTTCACATTTAAATATTTAACATAGATAATGGTAATGCAAAAACCAGAACTTTCGATGCCAGAACGCGAGCGACACAAGTATAAAATGCTAAATAATATCATTACTTACATGTTCAGTAATATTACAAGACCGTTTAGCATTACTGCACATATTCCTGTGTCCCGATGTGTCTGGCCCCCGTGGTGGACGGACCCGATTTCATTTCAGTGGTATCTGGTACAAATTACTTTTATTTCGACGATCAGCTATTATAACTCAATTCAAATCAGTGTGCTTACCATGAGTTTACGTTAGCTGTGCTCGGTAGTGACTGCGTCAAAAAATCTATGAAGATTTTAGTTCTTGAAAGTAGCCGCTAGGGGCGCTGTACAATTTGTCATTCATATAACGCACGCTTGGTACAATAACGTCACAGGTACAATAAATGTTTTTTCGTATTTCTGACGTTATTGCACCAAAATAACGTCACAAGTGCAATAAATGTTTTTTCGTATTTCTGACGTTATTGCACCAAGTGTGCGATAATGTCATTTTTTTAACTAGTCGCTAGCGAGCACACCTAACGTAAACTTATGGTAACACAGGAGCGTCCACCACGGGGCAAGACACATCGGGGGCGTACCACAGAACCATCTTCTCGTTTCTCTGAAACTAGTCTTAGCAAATGTTTGGCTGCCCATACCATAAAGTTAGCAAGTTTGCACCCTTTAGTATTATTCCAATCAAGGAGTGCCAATCTGAAAGCGTTCTGTGCTCCCGAATTTATACAACTCAAAGGCTATCAGTGCAAGAGTGAGTACACGTATCTTGGGCAAACTCATGCATCATAGATTAATTTAAACACATCACTGTATGCGATTCTAGCAATATCTTAGCAGTCACAATATTTACTTCTTTCAAACTAAGCTTAAAAGCTTGTGTAGGTACAGGGTGCATTCACTTCATATGTCTATGTACCACTGTTATAAAAAAAAGTGCCTGGAAATACATATTTTCATATCGATACACATCACTAATTATTTTTAATGCATCACTAAGTATTTGAACAATATTAAGTCATAAGAATATAACAATCTTTAAAAGTTTATTGTATTAAATACCTATAAGATAGAACTATTTTTATAAATGCCTACATTTTTGTAATTGAACTGCCATATCGATTAAGTTAAAATGTTGTTATAATGTAAGTTACAATTAAGAATAAGATACTTAATAATACCGTTCCCATTTTTCGGATAAGAGTTCATCAAACCATAATTTTATAAGCTTTTTTCGCATTAGTACCCATTTCTGATACTTGCCGATTCTTAACAACATATAAAACACGCTGTTAGTTCCTAAGTCAGCAGTTAAGATGGGACATTTTGTTATGCGATCGGCGAAATCAGAAACTGGATCTTTAAAGACCTAATTTTGGAATTTAAATTTCACATGCGATCAGTGGGAACGGGTCTGATGTAGCATTAATATTGTAATTAATTACTTTTTAACTTAAACTAATTCGTAAACTTGTGACTTGCGTAAGACTGTGAACATTTATTTAATAAAAAACTTTAATAAAAGTTGTTCATTTATTTTGCTAATGATGTTGATGTTTTCTTCTGTTTTTATAATAGGTAGCTACAGGAGGTCAGTATGTAGTATTTATATCTTATAATATTGGCTTGTTTGTGTCTATACTTATGCATAATGTGGTGAAACCGTCCTATGTCAAGCACCAGATATCAGTAATAACATGCAAGAACTTATTATGTACTTTATTTAATAATATGCAAGTAGCTTGATGTAGAACGAGCTCATCAGCTCAACGAGCGTTAATTTTATATTAATATTAAATGCCTGTGTATGTTCGGGAGCGTAGTGTAATTTTATTCATAAACATCTTAATTTGCTACATTATTGAATATTCGCAAAAAATATTATAAAACGTGTATGTTTCATTGCATGGCGCTTAGATTTTTAATAATTATCACGACCCAACTTTAATTTTGATTTTTAATCAGCGCCCATGATCATTACTGGATGACAAAGTGTAAATCGGTTCAAATCCGAGTATTCTTCTTCTTATGGGTACGAACTCTACAGAGAGCCATCAATATAGTAATTTTCCGTTTCCCAGTTCATAATGGACAGATCAGACATGGTGAGCATTTGTTTGAAGCAACGGTTGATCACCATCATTTATTCGACATCATTAGTTCGTTCGTTCATCATTCTGCATAACTTTCGTTTGGACATCACTATCGTGTGAATTCCAAAACGTATCCTTGTTGATGCAACCTTGTTTACTAACAAAGCTTATCAATATCTGATACTTTTGCCAATGTGGAGCTTTTAACTTTGTCTCAAGTTTTTGGAACTGTCTCTCCCTCTCAAATCTTTGAGCTCTTGAGCGATAGCAACAGATGGACCCGAAATTACTAAAGCAGCGTTAGGGAATATCCCCGCTGACTCCATCCGAGATTGCAAGCAAAAATACTAATGCATGTCGTTTCTCTTTTCAGCAGACAGCTACCAATACCAGCTGCAATCCATGTGGCAGAAGTGCTGGAACACCAACCAGAGTTTGGTCCACAACCTGCGTTTCCGCGAGCGCGGCCCGCTGAAGTCCTGGCGCCCAGAGACCATGGCCGAGGCCATCTTCTCTGTGCTGAAAGAGGGACTCTCGCTGTCCCAGGCTGCTAGGAAGTACGACATCCCGTACCCGACCTTCGTGCTGTATGCCAACCGCGTCCACAACATGCTGGGGCCCAGCGCCGATGGTGGTGCAGGTATGTTACAATTACTTCTGTGGTTACAATAGGGTTGCAGGTTTCTGGTTGTGTAACTCTTCGATCGAGGTTGTGAAAGGATACCAAGTACAGTTTGCCATTGCTGCTGTTTTAAAAACTCTACCTAATTATACTTAGGTAATCTGTATTTTTTTCTAAAATTGGGAAGTTTTTTGGAATACTTAGTTTGGATTGACTTCATGAATTTTCTAAGAAAATATACAGATAATAATAATGAATTTCAACTGAAGACTTCTTATTCTATCGTATCCTAAACTGACTTGCCGGAAGACTATTAGTTTACTATTAGAAGACCTTAGCTGTGTTTTCTAATACTATAATAATCTGTACACTACATAAGGGAGAGTCCGCTAATTTGGACCAGTTTTTTTCAATCCCATTTTACACACAGTTTTCTTTTGTTTTTGCTAATGTCCATGGTATATAATAAAAGGTACATTATTCAACTTACTATTTCATAAGTATTAATTAACATGATTGTTGTATATTTAGCACAAATCAACAAAGTACGAGTTCAGAGCTTCGGTCCAATTTACCCAACCGGTTGGATAATTTGTACCACAGGGTTACTAAATTGAATTTCAATAAATTTCAAGCCTATAAAAAAACTATGGCAAAATATTATACGATACATTCTTAACAAATTAGGAAACGAAAAGGAACAGTAGTTAATAACATAGACAATCGATATTATTTTACACGTTATCACGATTTTGAGTACAAGTTTTGTAATTCCAATTATCGTAACGCACACTTGTACCTAATCTACTTTGCCAGTCTTTTGCTTTCATTTATTGTTAGTCAAACATAACTACGCTATTATAACTTCAAAATATGATTTACTAAAAAAAATTTCAAAATCCTTTGGTAAAGTTCCATACAACTTGGTGTGGTCCAATTTAGCCGACTAGGTGATAGTGCTTTTAAAAAATCGGTAAAAAATATAGCTTATAAATACCGAAAAATGTTTCAAATAATTGTAATCCACACTAATTTACGCTTCTAAATAATATATTAGAAACACCCTGTGATTAAATTTAACAAAATTACAAACTAAACATGTATTGTCAAAAGTTACTTGAAAACAATGAAAAAATACTTTTCAAAATAAAACACACGTGTTTGTTGTCACGGCAAAAACCACATGGCCGATATTAATTGATTTTAGTTGTGTATCGCTGAGTGTTGCAATTACAGACATTCAATAAATACTTTACGAGATATGAGGGTGGTACAATTTACCCGGCGGTACAATATACCGAACTCTCCCCTATATCAGATAATTTAATCTATCATTAAAATTTGGGATATCATATACTGGTCATCACAAAAATCTACATACCTACGTTTTACAGGAAAACTCGTTTCTACTGACACAATCATGGTGCCCCAACAATATTGGTGTTACAAATAACATAATAATAATTTGAAAGCCCAATAAATATCCTTAAAGAAAAACACATTTAATTTCTTAATAAACGATTAACATAAACGACTTGAAAAAAGACCTCACTTTGGGCTCACCTCTGGGATCAATTAGACCAATTTTTATGGTTATAAAACCAAATAGTCATCTCACGTGTCCTCTTTAACAGATGGATAGCGATTAATTCCAACTTAACAGTTTTATAGCCATAAAAGTTGGCTCAAGCGTAACTACCTATTTTTTAAAGAAGTGACTCTGGATTCTTCTACAGACACATTTTTGGGGTAAAAACCTTTCCTTTAATGAAATGAAGTTTAGAACTAGGCTTTTAAATGGTGCCAATATTAGTGGGAAGTGGGGATGCATACCTTTGAAAGTGCTTGTCGCGGGAGGGTCGATTTTTTTGATGACCAGTGTACTAGGGCACTATTTAAGTTGTGAGCCTCGACAACATAACGTGTTGTTAGACAATATCTGATACTTTTAATGAAAAGTTTGACATTTTTGACTACAACCTTATTCAAAACTTTTTATCATTTGAGCACGTTTTGTATTATCAACATTATATTGAAAATTATCCTGACTACAATAACATGGAATTGACTTGCGGAAATTTTCGCGCGAAGATTTATTATGACTTTCGACGTGGTTATTCAATACAAAACTGAAGCGGTCAGCTAAATTTCACTTTAGGTGATAAAGATCTGTCCTTTACTATTGTAAAACGCTAATTTAAGAAGTATTATATTGTATGTCATTGGCTCACCAGTGAACTTTGCGAAAGTCGTCCAAAATGACTAATAGTGGCGGAAAACATTGACGTTGTCAGAAAACTGGAAGAGAAACCTTGTCATGTGATATATCGTAGGACTGAGATAATCCTAGGCATTAATTCCACTAGCAGTAATAAAATATTGTATGACCTTATAATGGTTAATACGTTTTTTTCTCGCTGGATGCACAAAATTTTTCAAACGCTCAATAGGACGCTTGTGTAGTTATAGTCCTTGGAAATGTTTGATAAATACGTTTAAAAAGCTTTACAAGCCGTTTTTAAAATTGTGACAGTTGACGAATTAAGGATTTATGCATAATGATCCTGAAAATAAACAGCTATCGACTATGGAGGTGTTTTAAGATGAACCAATTCCAACAAAAGTCCCATGCGCTCGGAACACTTTGAAACTTACGGTCGCCTATTTTTCCGTAATATCCGATTATATGACAGAAACGTTACTAGAAAAATTTAGAATGGTTAATTCTTAATAGTAAACAGCCACTGTTTTTCCAAAAGTCTTCAGATTAATAAGGGAAACTGACCAGCATAGTCGAATCGCCATTCGTGACGAAAATGTGAGCTTTTACACGTCTCGTCAAACAACTGACTATTTGAACACTCAAAATATAAAATAAACAGGTCCAACGCTACAAAATTGTTGCTTGGAATCTAAACACTTCTTTTGGTACCCATATATTAAAATTAAATGTGTTAAAAGCGATTTAGGTAGCCAGAAGCAACTGTCGGTGCGGTCAAAAACCTTGCTTTGGAGGTGCCTCAAGCTGAGTGGAAAAAATGCTATGAAAAGTGTTTCGGACACATTAAAAAGTATATAAATCATGAAAGACAATACCAATAAACGCAATCAATACCATTTTAATAATAAACTACTTTGTTTTCATAGTTAGGCTCACAACTTAAATAGTGTCCATTTGATTGTTTACGATTAAATGACACTTTATTCGTAACAGTGTTACTTAAGTTAATATTGCCCAATATTAAATTGCTACTTCAATTATGTAATCTCAACACAGCCCATGATAGCAGTATTTAATTTTACGACCAGAAACCTACGATCCTCACACTGTCATCATAATTAAACTTATTTAAAATATGCTTAAGTATGTGGACTTAGTATTAAGTTACTTTTAAGCAAAGCGAATACGTTTGCCTCGCGAACTTTTACTTAAGTTAATTTTAATTTATTGTTATTATGATCTTTCGGTGTGGCTGGTGTAAGTAATCTAAATATATAAAAGGAGAAACTGACTGACTGACTGACAGATCAACGCACAGCCTAAACGGCTAAACGTAGGCACTTGAAATTTGGAAGGGACGTAGCTTAGGTACCGTAGAGGTGCACTAAGAAAGGAATTCCCGAAATTACCACGGGAACGGGAATTAGCAGGAAAAACGGGATTCACGCGTACGAAGTCGCGGGCGGCCGCTAGTATTAAATGTGCGTGAATGTAAACCAATTTAATTTTGTTACTATAAAATTAGTTTATATTCACGACAATGCCACGGTAGTTTATTTGACTCATTTTAAAATAGCATTTACTTACCATACTTTAAAATTACTAACAAGAAACAATAAATTAATAATTATTAAATACTAATTTAGCGTCTGACTTTTTCTTTGTATGTATGTAATTGGGGTAATTATGGGACAATTGAAGTTGTAAATGCCAATAGAATTTACAACAAAGTCGGATACTTAATTTATAATTATTCTTAATTGTTGTGAAGTTGTGAATAGGGTAGCCAATATTTAGGATATTTTATTAATTTCTTCCCGTTTTGAGTTGATGATTTTGTTTTTACGTCTTAAATATAACTATGTACAAACCTAAATCATAAGGGCGCTTGTTCACTTATCAACAAGGGGTGGCAACGGAAAAACTCGCCTCTTCAGTTTTCAGGGTATTCCGTGTTCTGGCCGCGATGCGAGTAAATTCAGGTACAGGCATGTAAAACAATCAAGTAAATCTTCTTCTGGTTTGGCACAAAAATGGTCACAACCCTCGTGTTAGAGGTTATGGTGACTGATGATTGTTAAGTCTACCTACCCATTACAGAGAACTATTTACGCCTAGTACATTTCCATCCATTTGTCCATCAAACAGTCAGATCTTTCACACAATTTACAAAATAATGGCAAAGTGCCAAACTTTCAAAATTTTAGGGATGAAAATTATAAAATCACCTTTTTCAAAATTATAAATATAAACGTACTACGTCATAAAATGACGTAGGTCTGGCGTTCACTAGCTCTTAGTCTAATGGTTTCTTATTTAATTAATTTTCTTGACGGTCACTAGGTCACCTGCGCGGCGCACGCGCACCCTAGTATTTTGTCAATAGTTAACTGACCGAATCAATCCCGCTTTGTTATGCCATCTTACTTATTCGTCTTTGCCAAATTTTGGGTAAGTCTGGAAAATTGGAAGACGTCCAAAAACCTTTACCTTTTATTTATTACCTTTCAGATTCTGATTTAGAGGTTCTACGAGCTAAATCGGTCAACATTAAATATTGATTAATTAAGTATACTTACCCGTAGAGTTCATTCAGAAGATAACCTTCATGTATTAGTAAACAATTATACCGTGACACAGCCGTAAATGCCGTGAAGGGATTCGATCGGGACACGGTGATTTAATCTACCCTGAAGAGCTAAAGAGGGAAAGGCAAGCCGTACCTGATCCCATATTGAGATGATAAGTGTGCAACAACCCTTAATCGGCAGATTAAGTCAGCTTCGTTTAAGAATGTTTATTAAAATTATTATTTCTCACAAGTACTGTATTAATAAGTAACACGAGATGTCGCGTGTTGTTCTTTGTCCACAACAAAGTATACGTGGAAAGTAAGTGTAACGATTTACTTTAATTGAGCTAGATTGGCTTTTGGAAAGTTTGCTCAATTCTGCATTGCGGCGGATCACCTTTGGCTCTCCCGTTGGCTCTTACATTAAGATGCCAGGTAAGCATAGAAGCAACGACCATGAAGGGAATAGAGAAAGGGATTGCCAATACGCTGCCGAATTGATTGTAGTAAAGTTTGGCAAACACTATCCAGTATCTTCATAATTCTGGTTTGTTTCACGGAGTTCACGGAGTTCACGGTCTCACTAACCTAGAATTTGTTGTACCCATTCTGTCCAGGCTGTCGCTCGACTTCAGTTTGCCGTTAGCCGATCTAGCTCAGTTGCCCAAAAACCGTTTGCCATGGTGTGTGTGTTCACGTTTTACTATTGTGTGACGTTCCAGATTTGAGGCCGAAGGGGCGCGGGCGGCCGCAGCGCATCCTGCTGGGCGTGTGGCCCGACGAGCACATCCGCGGCGTCATCCGCGCCGTGGTGTTCCGCGACACGCACGCGCCGCACGCCTCGCACCACATCAAGGAGGAAGTGCTCCCCTACCCCTCGATCACGGTCAGTATCGGGACTTCCTATCGCTCTGCGAACACCCCTGCTCCGCGACTCCTTGGCTGGCGACTCGTGATCTAACCGTACTTCTGTCCTCACGGGTATTGTATTCGGCGGTTACCTGTTTCAGGACGGCATGAACGTGCCCAACGCGTACGGCAACGTCGCGTGCGGCAACGGACGCGAGGGCGGCGTGTCGCCGAACGCCGCCGCCGCCGCCGCCGTCGCCGCCGTGGCGCACGGGCTGCGCCGTCAGATGTGCAACATGGTGGTGGCGGCGCAGCGCCCGCCCGACCACCCGCCGCACCTGGGCCTGCCGCCGCTGCCGCTGCAGTCGCCGCGGCTGCCGTCGCCGCTCTCCGCCGGCCTGGAGTCGCCGCTCTGCTCGCCGCCGCCGCCCGGCCACGCTCTCGAGCCGCCGAAGCCCGCCGACCCGTTCCGCCCCTTCGCCTCCCCCCGCCCCGACAGCCGCTACGGTGAGCGCGACGTCGTCGCCGAGATGACCGAGATGGGCCCGCCCAAGACGCCGGTGTCGGTGGCCAAGAACGGCAAGGAGATGTCGTCGCCGGTGCCGGTGAAGATGGAGCCGCCGCCGGCGGAGGCGCGCGCCGAGAACATCTGAAGCGAGGCCGCGGGCGTGGCGCTGGCGCCCGGCGTGCCCGCGCACGCGCCGCACGCGCTGGCCCACGCGCCGCACGCGCCGCTCGCCGCGCCCGCGCCGCCGATGCCCGCCTACCCCTACTTCGTGCCCAACCGCAACTCCGTCGGCTACTTCTGAGCCGGCAGCGGACGACGGGTGAATGAATGTATTTATTTACCTAATTATCATAATTTCTATTGGCATTATTTTATTCATATTTAATTATTTAAAGTGGACTCGCTGTGCAATAAAATGCTTGTTGTTTAGTTATCAGTTTTGTATGATTATAAAAGAATATTTTTAATTTAATTATTATATTTTTTGTATACATTGACGTTTATGTATGTGTGCCGAGAGCACGTGGGAGTATTTTGTTAGTAGCGTAAGCGTAGGCGCGGAGCGCGGGCCCGGCGTCGGCGAGCCCGGCGGCGCCGGCGGCGTGCCGGCGGCGTGCCCGGCGCTCCGGCGCGTAGCATGTCAAACATAATGTAAGCTTATATTATACATCTTAGATCCATCTGTGAACGTAGGGATATCAAAATTAAAACATTTGGCCCGATTCAAAAGACTGTTCGGTATACCTATTCATTGTAATTCAGCAAATTATTCGTGTAAGACAAGATAGTCTAGATGTTAAAATAGATGTCTATCGTTTTATTTGTCGTCAAATCGATGTCAATTTCTCTACTAGCGGTAATAGTGGATGTTGCTTGCGCGCCACGCCTCTAGTTCACGACCGGCAGCGTTCACGTACGAGTAGACTTAGTGGTCGCCAAATGTAATATAGATTGTATCATTAGCCAGTAGTGATTGTTCCAAATGTTAGGTTAACTTAGATCGAGACTCGCCCGCCCTCTCGTTAACGCCCGCTTGCACGCGCTGCGGCGCCCTCATGCAGTAACCACTTGATCAAATTTAGATTATCGGTAAACAAAATATTAGTTCGGTGTCTAAACTAGATTATATTATTCATCAAAGTATAGTTATATTATCTCATTCAGTGTTAGTAATAAGGGACATATTATAAACTAAATGGATGTTCATCGTCTTTTATTTAGGCTCGCCTGAACCTATGTGTCTATGTTGTAAATAAGTACTGTCTTCTTGTCGGACGGACGTGCATCCTCGCATGCTATTTTCTTGTCTCTTCATGACTATTCAGATAATTCGTAGCTTCAGATCATACCACCGGGAGCAGACGAAAAAGTTGAACAACTTTTTTCCGGAAAAAAGTTTAATGGCAGCTTCTGATTTTCCGTAAGCTATTCGAGTTGCATTTGGAAAGTTCAGTTTCCTCAGTTAATGTTGGAGGGATAACCGGCGGGTCCATAATAGGTTTAGTAGCACTAAAATCGCCAAGCATTGAACGTACATCGTTGGAGAGTCTGCTAACCACTACCGTAGCTAGAATACTTCGGCGTAGATAGATGTAACTACGACGGCACCGGGCTGCGGCCTGCAGGTGTTGTACAAATTTGTTTTAAACTTCCCGATTGTTTCGTTACTAGTTTCGGCAGGAAATTCTCGTTAGGACGGCCTTCTTGCCGCAAGGGTATACCATTAGAGTGTTGGCGGACCTTCTCGGCGACCCGGGGGAGCCCTGTCGTCGCAACTCGCTCGCGAATGATTTTAAAATAAGTCTCCAAGTGGCCTTGATACTTCACTATTATTTGGTATTTGGATTATCCGTTTCGGTTCAAGTTTGGAATTAGTGTATAAAAAAGACCAAATTATTAAAAAAAAAATAACATTTGCATTCAGATCTAGTGTTGAAACTATTTGGCTATCCTTTTGGAATTAAAGTTAATATAGGGTGAGGAAAATTAAATTTAAAAAAAAGTTATATATTGGCCTATACGTTTCGGAAAGAATTGCGTAATTTTGGTAAATGTTACTACGCATATTTTCTATTGTATAAGTCTAGGCTAATGTGTTCAAAAAAAGTAATTTAAAATTTAAAATTTTTGAAAAAAGTAGAAAGTGCCTTCCAAATTTTTGACCACAGTAAGTGTTGGGATGGGCGCGGCGACGATGGCACGCGCGGGGCCCCGCGCCCGCGCCCGCGCCGTCGAGCGTGCTTAACTATAAAACGTTAGAATAATGAAAATTCAAAATTATTATATAAAAAATTAAATACATATGACTATATATAGGAAAAAATATACATAAAATTATATATTTGGCCGATGTGGTTATACCCTGACAGGCAAGCGTTAGCTGTGTATTCGGCGTCAAAATTGATTATCTATTATTTTCCCAGTGACTAATAAATCCATTACAATGCGACGTGCAAAGTGCCATTAAGTTTGAACTGAATTACGTGCGGTTCATTTTGTATCACACCGTGGATTTCGTAGTTATAATTAAACAATTAATTATTAATTTATTGTATCGAAGAATATACATTTCGGACTACATAATTAAGTACCTATGTTATTTTCGTGATAGTTAAGGAATGGACTTGTAGTATTATACCTATACACCTACAGAGGCGGTTTCGGTTGATAATTTATGTAATAGATTTTAATTTATGATTTTATAGTTTTTGAATCACTGGCGACTCGCACTTGTGTTTATTACTGCATGACAATTTCATAGGTATCTCTTTAGTTTTGCTATGTGATAAAATGTTTGTATTGTGTATAAGAACAATATTTTTTTCTCAAAATATCCTTATAGTTACTGTAAACCGTATTTATTTATTTTTTGTAGAGTAAAGTCTTACCGCCGCGTTGGGCTCAAAGTAAATGTAATTATGATACCTACCTTCGAAAGACATCTCGTGTACCAAATAATCTTCTTTTTTCAAAAGTATTAATTATTCTGTGTAATGACAAGTGACTGTTTAGTTAATAAGATTAAGCGCATAGCCGTACGGTAGGTATCAGCTAAGGTATAATAATACCGTCGCTTATGGCTCTATGGATATACTTTTAATTGCATATCATTAGCATTGAAACTCGTTTTATTTGTTGAATAAAACGGAACGTTCGTTGTTGTTACCATCGCGTAGGTCAATTTTAGTTTGAAGACTTATTTTTGTGATGTCTAACGATTTGTAATTGTTTTTCATTTGTTTTGCCCACTTGCTTATGAGTACCCCCTATGTATGTACCCTACGCCCTGGTAACAATAACGATTTAACCAAATTCATGTTTCCATGAAATGTTTAGTTCATCACATGTAAATTATAGTAACTAATCAACTAATCGTTAATAATTACCTAATTATGATTATGTTACTGATTCTTATTGTTGTTAAGATGTATGTCTTATTTTCCGTACCCTGTGTTCCTGTATATGTGTAATTGTATGACATTAAAACACTTATTTTCTGTTAATGTAAGCAGACGTATATTACATAATTAATCGCGTAGTTGTTTGTATGGACAAACGTTATCTAAATAATTTGTATGATTTCTCGAGTTTTATGTCTGTCGGAGACCTTTTGCGCGACTGCATTTTTTAAAGGGATAGGTTAGTTGTCGCGCATAAAATAAGATATTAAATAACATACAAATTAGATGATGACGGTTTGTCCAGTCAATTTAGTTACGCAATATCAGTGTTTATGTCAAGTACAATATTATCGAAATTGGTGTGTTTCTGTAATTATCTAAATGCATGTAGATGACAATACCCGATAAAACATAAAGATGTTAAATGTCTATCCATCTGATAGCTGTAGTCAGTCTCAACAGAATTCGGTAATATTTAAGTTCGTTATTGTCACAGTGTACCGTTGTCTGAATGAATATACAAAATAGAGAAAATATTTGCGTTTTATTTAACCTTATCCTGCATCCCCGATAGGTATCAAATAAATAGGTGTTGTTTTGTACGCCCGCGTTAGATTTCAGTTTTCTTTCTAAAATATAAACATAATATTGGCGCTATTGTTAGTCAAAACATGAAAAATACATTAATATTTTTCGCTCAAAAATATTTGCTTTATGCATTTTGAAAAATATTTTTTTTTTGTTCAATTATGAATTCGTACGTTTATTAGTTTTCATGGTTCTGAAAACTTTTTAAGCGCCATCTATCAGACGTCAAATGATACTTTGTATCATGGAGGAAGCAGTTCGTTCTCATTTCAACAGATGTCGTTATTTGGCTTTCGGAATTAGTGACATCTACAGATTTACGTAAGAACTAGATCGTAGAGGAGGGAGAAGGACGAGTGGTAGATAGGACAAATTTCGACCACCAGTTGCAATTTTGGTTAATGTAAATCACAACCAATAGATGAAAGCACTTTCGCTATTACTTTTCTGTGATAATTTGGTTGAAAGAAAATAAGATGTCCAACAAAAAACTGAACCACCCCAGCACTCCTAGCCAGTGGCGGCGTAGCATGGCTTATAGGCGAGCCCCCCTGCCCCCCATATGGTTGGGGGCTAAAGCACCCCAGAATGGTCTGGTCTGGTGCCCCCCAGGATTTTAGGGTTACCGATCAGTTACCGACGGACCGCTACCAGCTATGCCAGGAGGGCGCTACTATTAATACTGGGTTGTTAGTTTTTGATTTTTGCCACTTGATGTTTTTAAATTGTGGGACTATCTATTATCTTTGATTGATGCCACTAACTTGACGTTTCTGAAGCGTTGAACTTAAAAGGACTGCCTCGTGGTTCTCATTACAGAGCAATAGAGTATTTGGCTAAAAACAATAATTGAAAATAAGTGCTAGAATTATGAATTAGTTTAAAAATTATAATAATGGAAAGCAATTTACCGCTATTACTCCAATTTAAAAAAACAAAAACTGAAAACAATTGAATTTATTAATTAATAATCATACATTAAAAGCAAAAGGGAGTGACAAAATAATGTAACAACATTCGTGTACCACAAATCCTCGAGCTCATAAACCCAAAGAAAACTAACGTGTTACTGAAACAACCTGACTTTATTTAACCAGCCGAGTTCTGGGTCTAAAACTAACATACATATTCTTATTCGTCCCTACATCCGATCAACATTTGATTCGACCGTCTCTTTCTATCTTTGAGTATATAATTATACTTTTCCCAACCTTCACCCTGAAGAAACCTCAAAGTTTACGTTTTAGAATGCGCAAAAATAATAGTTTAGTAAAATCGGAAGACGAGAGCGGCTGAAGAATATAAAATTCGAGCATTTCTTTGAGGATTCTTACACTAACGTTTTATGGAAACGAATCAGAATATGTCTGTACAGCTCTGGATACATGGAGCCACGTAGATGGCAGTATACAAATACAACAATAATGTAATCACATACGGTACATAATACAACACAACTATATACAATTTAGACAAAATAAATTACAAATTCCAGAAATTAATTAGATGCAAAATATCGAACTGAAAATGCATTATGATTCCTAACACAATATGAATGAACAATACAGCACCTTAATCATTAGTTTAGAATACAAAACTTAATAATTAAGCAAAATACGTGTAGTGGCTCCGGCTAAATTGCGTAGTCGATTGTACATGCGTTGGTTTCTTTGATTAGTACACGACGTGTACGTTACTCCAGCTGGAAAGTAGCTCCTAGAGTGATATGAGTAGAACGTATAATTAGTTCCCAACATGGTGTAAATGTGCGCCGAGTTAGAGATTAGTGCGTGCTGTCGTTTTGGTACAAAACGAAAAAAACGATTCCTGCTGGAGTAACGTTGTTCTAGCNACGACAAGTAGGTATTGTTACAAGAAAATGCTACGATGCGCCGACGCACCTTTGTAGGGCCCATAATTTAACATGAACAGTAATAAATACGACAAACTACGTACATATGCATAACGTTTTGGCTATGCCCTAGTGCAACAGATATCTGGTTAGTACAGTAATACCCAGATTTACACCACCACATCTTACGCCAATTCCTTGAATAGTTATTGCTGGGCGTCACTACACACTCGTTTAATGTATTACTGTATTACACAAAATCAGCAGTACTACTACGAATTTGGTGCTTACGTACGATCTTACATCCTTAACAAAATGACACGGTTTTTAGTACTGGCCATTGATATTCGTTTACTCCCAGAATCATGCCTAAGCACTAAGTTTGTAGCAGCACTGTATTCTATACCAAAATTACCAAACTATTATGCAATCTTCATCAAACTCATCTGTTGCACTACACCGCACTTGTATAGCCTGCATGCTGTATTTACCGCTATTATGTTAACACGGTTGATCCAAAAAGATATCCGTTCCCACAGTGGGGCACCGTGAATCCAATTGAAAAAAAAAACTAAAATTTTATTTTACGAACGAAAATATTTTGAAAAACTAAATTTAATTTGGATAATGCCTATGAACTAAATTAAAAACTAATATTATTTAAATTCATTGACACTGTGGGCACGGACACCCAATGGGGAAAAGGAGTGGGCCCGGAAAAAGTCTACGATTAATCGTATGTTCTCTCCGTTACGACGGAGCTTATAAAGTATTGTACAAGAAAATACAGACGGAAGAATTACCCCTGCTTCCCCAGTTTGAATCCATCCCGTTGACGTGACGTATCTTAGATACGACTAAGGTTCGGAGAGCTGACGCGACGGAACGGACGCATCCGAACCAACGAAATATTGTAAGCCAACACTCGAACAACCAGCCAGCTCTCGCGACACCGCCGCCCTAGCAAGCGACCAAGAATACAGTTGATCGGGTCCCTACGAACCATAGTTTGACATAAACAACCTAACGTAAAACTAATTACAACTAAATCGTAACTAAACGGCGTGAACATTTTGCAGAAGTCGGGCCGTGGTGAAGCTGACCCGCAAGACAATACAGCGTGTGATGGTCGGTAGTACATAGTGACTACATTTTAATACTTTAAATATTACACTATACCTATTCTTCAGTCTTGGTTAATTATTTATTACAGCCATCATAGAAGAGAGGCGTGATGCGCCCTTCAATGACATTATTAATGAATAATATATACACGTTCAAACACATAAGTAGACAGATGCGGCGGGGGATGGCGCCGTGCGCACCGCTAGTTCGCTAGCAAACCAAACGAAAGACAACATTCATCGAGTATATTAACGAATAAGCGAAATACATTCGATAGTTTACACCTCGAGGGTTTACACCTCGGTTGTACACACAATAAGAAAAGTAAATTGAATCTCAATCCGTTTGCCCGTTGGATCATAATGGGTCGCAGTGAGCACGGCACGGCGCCGCCGCAGAGTAGTGGTGACAGACTGCAGTAGGTACATACTTAGTTCGCGTACTAACACCATCAAGTACTGAGGAAGATTAATCTTAATTCGGTAAAGTATTAAAATTCTGAAATGTTTACGTTATACCATTAGATATTATAGCTTAACTGACTATTTTATATGAGTTAATCGTTAAACTGCTGGCCATTTACATTTTATAAGATAATTGGACACAGTATATTCATTACAACATTAATAGCTTAACAAATAAGAAACATAACAAATTACAAATTAACTTAATACAGTTATGTGTATACAGACGAATATACACGCTGATGTGACCACTGAGTGTATAACGATATACAAATAACAATAAAACTAGTGGTCAAATTATACATAATAAATTCAAATCAAAGCAAATTGAATGAGTATATTACACATAATATTAAATAAATAAAAATGATGAATTGAAATACATAATGTCACGAAATAAATAATGAATTAAAATGAGGGGATAGCGAAATATTAGTAATTTGTACACAAATTACTAATATTTATTTTGATTAAATACATAATATAATATAATATTGAGCGAAAGTGGAGTTTATATTAAGGGGTTATCAAGTTTTCAATCTACTTTTTTTTGGTTTTTCTTAATGTTTTTTTTTTTGGTACACCGATTATATAAGTTTAAATAATGACTTATGGCTATTTCGGCTATTGACGACATTATATTAATAGAATATATGGTAAACATCCATAGTGTTTATTAATATATAAGGTATAAGCGTCATAAAGGTCGCTACGAGATATAGGTATATGCGACAGAACTACCATATTAGTACGGAGGGTCATATTTACAGGCGCGGTGCGAGGGTGCTACGCGGTGCAGCGTGACGCCAAGCGTTTGAGGACATGGAAAATATACTAACTACTAAAAACGAAAATAATCAATAATAAAAAATTAAGTACTCAAAGCAAAAAGGTAATTCAAACTGATGGATAAACTGATGAAACGTGACATTCAACAAATATTACACGCAAACAACTTTGTCAACAGAACTTATAGTATGGTGGGTCACACTGTGTGGCACAGTGACAAAACATTGTTCAGACTTGTCTCACCACCGATATTAAAGCGCGAGTTGGTCACTCTAGATATGTACTAATAATTAAATACTAACACATGAATAAAACGTGAATTTAGTATTTATTGCCATACGTGTTAGGATATACGTTACGTATTCTATACATCACTTATTATCGCAGTCGACCGAGATGGGGAAAGGCTGACAAGACCACCTCGTCACCAGCAATTTTAGATTTTACTGTTTTTGATTTGAACCAAAAATATGACCTTATATGAACTGCCAATGAAAGGTCATTTTGGCCTCCAGAGCCCCGTATTTATCTCCCACAAACTTGCCGCAGCAGTAGACGACATTGCACGTGAATTGACGTGAGGCAACATCGAGGTTTATGAAAAAGGTTGCATGACATGTTGGCGCACGATGTCGTAGACTAGCGACTTGTTAATGGAAGGCTTTAGAATCTTAAATACAAATGATAACACTA